GAGGAGAAAGAAGGGAACAGAAGGTCTGAAACCATCTGCTTTCAAGATGCAGTGATTCCCACCAGCCCCACATGGTGGCCAACCTTCCCACCTGCCCATAGGTTGCCAGAGCAGCTGCTGGCCATTGGGGGACTCCTGGGTCTGAGCCCCACAGGTCACTCTGGCAGCTGCAGGCACCAGCAGCCTTTTCCCAATGGGCTTTTTAGCATAACTTTGTGGACGCCCCATGGGCCACTCAAACTAGGGTCACCCCCACCTACTTACCGTATTCATTCCCAATGAGGCAGTCTGGGGATGTACGTTCCCAGGTCTGCACATACAAAGGGAACGTGATCCACATAGCCTCGTGAAGGCTTTGGGCCATTTCTAAGATGGCTTCTTTGTGAGATTCTACCCTAGCTAAGGGTCTCCATGGATACCCCAGCAACATGGAACCCTGCCAGAAAAGCCAGTGCAGCAGCTGCCTGCATATGCTCCAACTGGGGCAGGGGATCGAACCTAAACCCAGGTGCATGCCCTTGTCTGGGAATCAAACCCGAGACCCTTCAGTGCACAAGCCCATGCTCTCACCACTGAGAACACCAGCCAGTGCCTCATAAGAGGGCCCATGAGAGGTTCCTATGGGCCAGGCCTGGAAGTTGCGTATGTCACTCTGCTCACTCGATTGATCAGAACTGTCACATGTCCACCTGTCATTGCAAGGGAGGCTGGGAAAGTGAGTGAGTCAGGAAGAAAGGGGAGCAGGGTTGAAAAGCCTATAGCAGTGCCTGCTACAGGATTCTGTAGACTCCCCAGAGCTACGCTGTTTCATGTGGTAGCCACTAGCCACAGTCAGGACAGTGGCTCCTGTACAAGGTGAGGGCAAGGCTTCCAGACCAAGGCTGTCAGAGGGAGTCCCATCAGGGCTTCCTATACAGGGTCAGGAGGGTGTTTCCAGAGGGCAAGTTTAGGGGTTCCTATGAAAGATCGGGTCAGAGATTCCTGAAACGGGTCAAGTTATGGATTTCTGTTGGAAGTCAGGGAAAGGTTTCTGCAGAATCCAGCACTGTTATAGGCAAGGCTTCCTGTAGAGGGTCAGAGCCATGGAGCCAGCACAGGGTTAGATCAGCAAGCCCTGCACAGTGTCTGGGCAGGAGGTCCTGTGCCAGGTGAGGCTGTCGGTGCCTATATAGGATGAGGTCTGGACGTAAAGCAGGGGGTCAGGACAGGTGCCGCCCACAGATTCAGGAAAGGTTTTCCATGTAAGTTCAAGATTGAAGTTCACATTGAGAGTTGGATCACAGGTTCCTGTGGACTCTGTGGGGTAGGGTGTGAGGTAGGGATTGTTGTGCAGAGTGACGTCAGGGGTCATTGTCAACGATGTAAGCAAGGCTCCTGAACTCAATCAGGGTTCCCAAAGAGTTTACAGATGGGGGTTTCTTTCTTTAAAATATATTTTTATTGATTTCAGAGAGGAAGGGAAAGGGGGAGAGATAGAAATATCAATGATGAGAGAGAATTTCTGCAGACAGCGTCAGGAAGGTGGTTTCAGAACTAGATTTTAAGATGAGCAAAGTGGTTCTAAAATGCTACCTGGACAGCAGGGCTGCAGTGCAGTGTGAGGACAGAGCTGTCCCGTCCAAGGTCCAGGCAGGATTCCTATAGAGATGGAGTGCCATGAAGAGGGTCAGGCCAGGCATTTCTATAAGGGTGGGTGGGGCAGGCTCTGTCCTGCCACCAGGGAAGGCGGAGGTTCCTGTGCTGTGGTGGCAGGACAGGGTGCCTCCTGTAGAAGGTGAGGACCGGTGATCCTGCTCAGGGTCAGGATGGGTTTCCTGTTGATTAGAGAAAGGGTTCCCTTAGAGCTCCAGTATCAGAGAGGCTCCTGAACCAGGCTAGGGCTGCCGTTTTGATAGGAGTTGGGGATCCGGGGCTCCTGAACACGGCGGGTCCAGGGGCCTGTCCAGCACAGGTTCTGAAAGAGGTTTCTGTTCAAGACGAGGACAGGGGCTCCCACAGGATGAGGAGGCTGGGGTTCTGTGGAGCGGCCAGGGAAGTTCTGGACAATCCCTGTCATGAGCAGGGACTACTGTGGTTCTTCAGTGGGCCAGTGTGCTGACGAGCTGAAGGGATGCTGTTCTGTTGATACTCAGCCACTGAGCCACACCAGCCGGACTAGAGTATTTTTTCAGGTGTTCATGAAGGAAAGCACCTGAGCCTTCCGCTGTTGTTGACCACAGTGAGCACTCAGGAAACGGGGCTGCTTGTGGTTAGGAGCCTCTGGGCAGTGTGGAGGCTACGCCATGCAGCCTGGCTCAGCCCTGTGCCACCAGCTGTGTGGCCTTGGGAGAGACGCTTAACCTGTCTGGGTTAGGATGTCACCTGACTCCGTGCATGCTCCAGCGTGAGGGTTTGTTCCGTGGAAGAACACATCCCAGGTGAGTGGGTGCAATGGGGAGGGAGTTGGCACTGTGGGGAGCTCACCACCTATGGGGTCTAAATATCCCCCCCTGGAGATTATTTTGTCCTCCTAATCTCCCCCCTCCTTCTCTACCATTTCCCACAGGGCTGCAGGCCGAGCTGGGCTGAGAGAGATAAGAGATGAGTGACAGGAGGGCCCATGGACAACCCCACGGTCCCAGACTGGCCTTCTGCCCTTCTTGCTGGCTGTCTTTCCAGCCCCAATCTTGGCCTCCCGTTCCTGTCCTGAACATGTCTTCTGTCCCCTGGAGGTGGGTCCCTAACTTACAGACTGAAATTGTATATATTGATACCTCCACAAACAAGTGTACAGAGCTGCTCACGCTGTCAGCCACTCGGAAGCACTGTGACAGGGCACAGGATGTGCGATACGCTCACATACACATGCTTGCACACAAGTGCTGCCCTTGCCAGACCCACAAAGACCTCCTGACATGCAGTACCTCAGGTCACACTGCTAGGTCTCCACATCCGTCCTACACAGCCCTTGGTGAGCATCCCAGAAATGTTTATTGAGCAAATGCTGTGCCTGGTACACATGCTGTCACACCGTCTCAGAACCACCCTGCATGGTGCACAATCACATGAGCACAGCCTCACATGTTGCCTCAGCACACCCCGTTACACACATACCCCCACGTCCTCTCATACAGTCACTGGTGCCCCGTTTCTCACAGTTGTCTGGTGTCGTGCACACCATCTCTCAGAACCTCACCCCCATGGTCACCACCTCACAGAGCAGTCAGCCACCACACACTGTCTCTGCCCATGACGTGTGCAGGTACACGCCGTATCATACACCCTGGTTGCTGTCACACGTGGTCTCACATACGAGTACACTCTTATACTTGCACATCATAACCCACTATCATGAAGGGTGACACGTGCTGTCTCACACGGCCTCACGCCATCACCAGAGAGCCACAGGCACCGTTGCACACCCCACCTACCACGGCTCTTTATTCAGTCCCACTCAGACTCACACCTCCAACTTCAGGACTCTGATGATTTATTTTACAAATCGTTGATGGTCCAGACCAGAGCTGTGGGGGGCCCAGAGGTTGGGTTGTAGAAACTTCTGGCTCCACGCGGAGAGGGACCCTACCCCTGCTCTGAGTCATGCTCTGTGTCCTCATGGGCTGAGTGGCGCCTCCACAGTGCTGGTGGTGGTGGGAGGCATGGGGCCTGTGGGGAAGGAGCCTGTGGGTGAACCCAACAGGGGCCCGGGGAAAGGCATGAGGTGGCTGACAGTCCCGGACAGCACCTCGGGGCCCAGGCCTTGGTAGAGATGGGCAGTACCAGGTGGGCCCAATCTCAAGCCTGAGGCCACTTCCCCACAATTCCCACCATCGCTGCTCCCAGCCACCACCATGAAGCCACCAGCCGGTGCATCAGCTGGTCCTGTGCCTCCGAGACTCGACACTGGCTTCTTTTCTTTCTGTGATGGCCTGGGTTTTCTAGACTTTATACCACCCTTCTGCACGGTCCGTGGTCGGTTCACCTGATGAAAGAGAGGCCATGAGTGTTCCCCAACCTCAGACTTTTGCCTCTGTGTCTCCAGCAGGGACACCCTTTCCACCCCACTCCTTAAGAGTCGGGAACTGGGTCAAGGACTAGGGGAGCAGGCCCCAGCTGTGGCACAGATAATGCCCTAAGGAATCATGAGCTTGTGAGGCCCTAAGCAATGGAAAGGCTGAGGGAGCCTCCAGCCATAGGACTAGCTGATGGCTGGAGGGGAGGGGGAAGGAAATGAGAAATGGAGGAGAGAGAAGGGAGCAGGAGGGAAAAGACAGGCAGGGAGGAGATGAAGGTGTAGAGAAGAGAAGGGTGATAGGGAAGGAGGAGGGAGGAGAATAACAGGGAGAAGAGAGAAGGGGAGATAGGAAGAATACAGGAAAGGAAAAGGAGAAGGAAGGCCAGGTTAGTGGGATGGGGGTGCAGGGGGGAGGCTCCAAGAGGCAGGGCACACCTGGTGTCGCTTGTAATAAAGGCCGCAGGCATTGCACACGGGGTCTCTATTGGCATTCAGCCGCCACACTGCCGTGATGGTTGTCTGGCAGTTGGTGCACTGGGCACCTGCACGCTTGCTGACCTTCTGGGGGCAGCAAGAAAATGAGGGTCAGTGCACTGGTGGGTGTAGGACCCAGGAGGTGAGGGTCGGGGTGCAGGCAGGGCTTCCTGGACAAGGCGTAGACTGAGGGTGCTCTGAGGGGCGAGGACATGGCCTCCTGTCCCGGGGCTTTCCAAATGGCGTGGGGTGCTTCATCAGTGGTTCTCAGCGTTGGCGGACATTGGACTCCCTTGGGGAGCCGAAAACAATCCTGATGCCCAGGCAGCGCCCCAGACCAAGTAAATCAACCCATCTCGGGAGGGCCCCACGGTGATCCCAGTGTGTAGCCAAGGATGAAAGCTGCTGTGCAGGGAGTGGACGGCATGCCTGCTTGCAGCCCGAGGGTGGGCTGAGGGTAGACACTCCTGTACAGAGCTGGGTCCCTGAGTGGATGGGGCAGGGAGGGGGGATGTGGGTTCTCATAGAGTGTGAGGGCAGAGATCCCTGCCCGGAGAGAGAACAGAGTACCTGGATGAGGGGAGGCCGGCCTGGGCTCTTACCGGGCGCCTTTGGGGCTTGTTCTGCCTAGTCATCGTCTGACCACCGGCATTGCACAGGTGGCACTGTGGAGCGGCTTTCGCTCTGCCGGACTTTCGCTCTGCCGGACTTTCGCTGTGCCTGGTACACATGCTGTCACACCGTCTCAGAACCACCCTGCATGGCGCACAATCCCAGGCCTCTGGTGTGGTGGACAGGGGGGCAAGAGGGACCAGGCTCAGCCCAACTTTGCCTTGGACCCCATCCCCCTCCTCAACCTCCCTGTCCCTTTGGGGGAGCCTCACCACAGGTGGACGGGGGCAGGGCTCCTTGGAGGTTGGGGGAGGAAAAGACCGCTGGATTGGGGGGGCTTCTGGTTGGAGGAAAGAAGCTCCTAGGAAAGTCGGGGGGCCCGTAGGCACTGCTGGGGACAGGGATGGAGGAAGGCACCGCAGGCCCCAGCGCCAACAGGTCCGGACTCCGTCGCTGTGTCCTGATGTTCTCTAGGAAGGTGCCTCTTGCATAGGAATCTTCTGAGGCCTGGGGAGGGGTGTACTCCCAGGTGGGGCTCACAGTTGCGGGAGGGTAGAGCCCCATGCTGCCATAGGCCCAGCTGGTGTATGGTGAGCCTCCTGGGGTCCCCTCCAGACGGCAGAGGCATGCATTAACCTGGAAGACTGTTTGGGGTGTGGGTGGGTATGGGAAGGAAGAAAGAAGGGAACAGAAGGTCTGAAACCATCCTGCTTTCAAGATGCAGTGATTCCCACCAGCCCCACATGGTGGCCAACCTTCCCACCTCCCCATAGGTTGCCAGAGCAGCTGCTGGCCATTGGGGGACTCCTGGGTCTGAGCCCCACTGGTCACTCTGGCAGCTGCAGACACCAGCAGCCTTTTCCCAATGGGCTTTTAGCATAACTTTGTGGAGCCTCATGGGCCACTCAACTAGGGTCACCCCCACCTACTTACCGTATTCATTCCCAATGAGGCAGTCTGGGGATGTACGTTCCCAGGTCTGCACATACACAGGGAACGTGATCCACATAGCCTCGTGAAGGCTTCTGGCCATTTCTAAGATGGCTTCTTTGTGAGATTCTACCCTAGCTAAGGGTCTCCATGGATACCCCAGCAACATGGAACCCTGCCAGAAAAGCCAGTGCAGCAGCTGCCTGCATATGCTCCAACTGGGGCTGGGGATCGAACCTAAACCCAGGTGCATGCCCTTGTCTGGGAATCAAACCCGAGACCCTTCAGTGCACAAGCCCATGCTCTCACCACTGAGAACACCAGCCAGTGCTCATAAGAGGGCCCATGAGAGGTTCCTATGGGCCAGGCCTGGAAGTTGCGTATGTCACTCTGCTCACTCGATTGATCAGAACTGTCACATGTCCACCTGTCATTGCAAGGGAGGCTGGGAAAGTGAGTGAGTCAGGAAGAAAGGGGAGCAGGGTTGAAAAGCCTATAGCAGTGCCTGCTACAGGATTCTGTAGACTCCCCAGAGCTACGCTGTTTCATGTGGTAGCCACTAGCCACAGTCAGGACAGTGGCTCCTGTACAAGGGGAGGGCAAGGCTTCCAGACCAAGGCTGTCAGAGGGAGTCCCATCAGGGCTTCCTATACAGGGTCAGGGGAGTGTTTCCAGAGGGCAAGTTTAGGGGTTCCTGTGAAAGATCGGGTCAGAGATTCCTGAAACGGGTCAAGTTACGGATTTCTGTTGGAAGTCAGGGAAAGGTTTCTGCAGAATCCAGCACTGTTATAGGCAAGGCTTCCTGTAGAGGGTCAGAGCCATGGAGCCAGCACAGGGTTAGATCAGCAAGCCCTGCACAGTGTCTGGGCAGGAGGTCCTGTGCCAGGTGAGGCTGTCGGTGCCTATATAGGATGAGGTCTGGACGTAAAGCAGGGGGTCAGGACAGGTGCCGCCCACAGATTCAGGAAAGGTTTTCCATGTAAGTTCAAGATTGAAGTTCACATTGAGAGTTGGATCACAGGTTCCTGTGGACTCTGTGGGGTAGGGTGTGAGGTAGGGATTGTTGTGCAGAGTGACGTCAGGGGTCATTGTCAACGATGTAAGCAAGGCTCCTGAACTCAATCAGGGTTCCCAAAGAGTTTACAGATGGGGGTTTCTTTCTTTAAAATATATTTTTATTGATTTCAGAGAGGAAGGGAAAGGGGGAGAGATAGAAATATCAATGATGAGAGAGAATTTCTGCAGACAGCGTCAGGAAGGTGGTTTCAGAACTAGATTTTAAGATGAGCAAAGTGGTTCTAAAATGCTACCTGGACAGCAGGGCTGCAGTGCAGTGTGAGGACAGAGCTGTCCCGTCCAAGGTCCAGGCAGGATTCCTATAGAGATGGAGTGCCATGAAGAGGGTCAGGCCAGGCATTTCTATAAGGGTGGGTGGGGCAGGCTCTGTCCTGCCACCAGGGAAGGCGGAGGTTCCTGTGCTGTGGTGGCAGGACAGGGTGCCTCCTGTAGAAGGTGAGGACCGGTGATCCTGCTCAGGGTCAGGATGGGTTTCCTGTTGATTAGAGAAAGGGTTCCCTTAGAGCTCCAGTATCAGAGAGGCTCCTGAACCAGGCTAGGGCTGCCGTTTTGATAGGAGTTGGGGATCCGGGGCTCCTGAACACGGCGGGTCCAGGGGCCTGTCCAGCACAGGTTCTGAAAGAGGTTTCTGTTCAAGACGAGGACAGGGGCTCCCACAGGATGAGGAGGCTGGGGTTCTGTGGAGCGGCCAGGGAAGTTCTGGACAATCCCTGTCATGAGCAGGGACTACTGTGGTTCTTCAGTCGGCCAGTGTGCTGACGAGCTGAAGGGATGCTGTTCTGTTGATACTCAGCCACTGAGCCACACCAGCCGGACTAGAGTATTTTTTCAGGTGTTCATGAAGGAAAGCACCTGAGCCTTCCGCTGTTGTTGACCACAGTGAGCACTCAGGAAACGGGGCTGCTTGTGGTTAGGAGCCTCTGGGCAGTGTGGAGGCTACGCCATGCAGCCTGGCTCAGCCCTGTGCCACCAGCTGTGTGGCCTTGGGAGAGACGCTTAACCTGTCTGGGTTAGGATGTCACCTGACTCCGTGCATGCTCCAGCGTGAGGGTTTGTTCCGTGGAAGAACACATCCCAGGTGAGTGGGTGCAATGGGGAGGGAGTTGGCACTGTGGGGAGCTCACCACCTATGGGGTCTAAATATCCCCCCCTGGAGATTATTTTGTCCTCCTAATCTCCCCCCTCCTTCTCTACCATTTCCCACAGGGCTGCAGGCCGAGCTGGGCTGAGAGAGATAAGAGATGAGTGACAGGAGGGCCCATGGACAACCCCACGGTCCCAGACTGGCCTTCTGCCCTTCTTGCTGGCTGTCTTTCCAGCCCCAATCTTGGCCTCCCGTTCCTGTCCTGAACATGTCTTCTGTCCCCTGGAGGTGGGTCCCTAACTTACAGACTGAAATTGTATATATTGATACCTCCACAAACAAGTGTACAGAGCTGCTCACGCTGTCAGCCACTCGGAAGCACTGTGACAGGGCACAGGATGTGCAATACGCTCACATACACATGCTTGCACACAAGTGCTGCCCTTGCCAGACCCACAAAGACCTCCTGACATGCAGTACCTCAGGTCACACTGCTAGGTCTCCACATCCGTCCTACACAGCCCTTGGTGAGCATCCCAGAAATGTTTATTGAGCAAATGCTGTGCCTGGTACACATGCTGTCACACCGTCTCAGAACCACCCTGCATGGTGCACAATCACATGAGCACAGCCTCACATGTTGCCTCAGCACACCCCGTTACACACATACCCCCACGTCCTCTCATACAGTCACTGGTGCCCCGTTTCTCACAGTTGTCTGGTGTCGTGCACACCATCTCTCAGAACCTCACCCCCATGGTCACCACCTCACAGAGCAGTCAGCCACCACACACTGTCTCTGCCCATGACGTGTGCAGGTACACGCCGTATCATACACCCTGGTTGCTGTCACACGTGGTCTCACATACGAGTACACTCTTATACTTGCACATCATAACCCACTATCATGAAGGGTGACACGTGCTGTCTCACACGGCCTCACGCCATCACCAGAGAGCCACAGGCACCGTTGCACACCCCACCTACCACGGCTCTTTATTCAGTCCCACTCAGACTCACACCTCCAACTTCAGGACTCTGATGATTTATTTTACAAATCGTTGATGGTCCAGACCAGAGCTGTGGGGGGCCCAGAGGTTGGGTTGTAGAAACTTCTGGCTCCACGCGGAGAGGGACCCTACCCCTGCTCTGAGTCATGCTCTGTGTCCTCATGGGCTGAGTGGCGCCTCCACAGTGCTGGTGGTGGTGGGAGGCATGGGGCCTGTGGGGAAGGAGCCTGTGGGTGAACCCAACAGGGGCCCGGGGAAAGGCATGAGGTGGCTGACAGTCCCGGACAGCACCTCGGGGCCCAGGCCTTGGTAGAGATGGGCAGTACCAGGTGGGCCCAATCTCAAGCCTGAGGCCACTTCCCCACAATTCCCACCATCGCTGCTCCCAGCCACCACCATGAAGCCACCAGCCGGTGCATCAGCTGGTCCTGTGCCTCCGAGACTCGACACTGGCTTCTTTTCTTTCTGTGATGGCCTGGGTTTTCTAGACTTTATACCACCCTTCTGCACGGTCCGTGGTCGGTTCACCTGATGAAAGAGAGGCCATGAGTGTTCCCCAACCTCAGACTTTTGCCTCTGTGTCTCCAGCAGGGACACCCTTTCCACCCCACTCCTTAAGAGTCGGGAACTGGGTCAAGGACTAGGGGAGCAGGCCCCAGCTGTGGCACAGATAATGCCCTAAGGAATCATGAGCTTGTGAGGCCCTAAGCAATGGAAAGGCTGAGGGAGCCTCCAGCCATAGGACTAGCTGATGGCTGGAGGGGAGGGGGAAGGAAATGAGAAATGGAGGAGAGAGAAGGGAGCAGGAGGGAAAAGACAGGCAGGGAGGAGATGAAGGTGTAGAGAAGAGAAGGGTGATAGGGAAGGAGGAGGGAGGAGAATAACAGGGAGAAGAGAGAAGGGGAGATAGGAAGAATACAGGAAAGGAAAAGGAGAAGGAAGGCCAGGTTAGTGGGATGGGGGTGCAGGGGGGAGGCTCCAAGAGGCAGGGCACACCTGGTGTCGCTTGTAATAAAGGCCGCAGGCATTGCACACGGGGTCTCTATTGGCATTCAGCCGCCACACTGCCGTGATGGTTGTCTGGCAGTTGGTGCACTGGGCACCTGCACGCTTGCTGACCTTCTGGGGGCAGCAAGAAAATGAGGGTCAGTGCACTGGTGGGTGGAGGACCCAGGAGATGAGGGTCAGGGTGCAGGCAGGGCTTCCTGGACAAGGCGTAGACTGAGGGTGCTCTGAGGGGCGAGGACATGGCCTCCTGTCCCGGGGCTTTCCAAATGGCGTGGGGTGCTTCATCAGTGGTTCTCAGCGTTGGCGGACATTGGACTCCCTTGGGGAGCCGAAAACAATCCTGATGCCCAGGCAGCGCCCCAGACCAAGTAAATCAACCCATCTCGGGAGGGCCCCACGGTGATCCCAGTGTGTAGCCAAGGATGAAAGCTGCTGTGCAGGGAGTGGACGGCATGCCTGCTTGCAGCCCGAGGGTGGGCTGAGGGTAGACACTCCTGTACAGAGCTGGGTCCCTGAGTGGATGGGGCAGGGAGGGGGGATGTGGGTTCTCATAGAGTGTGAGGGCAGAGATCCCTGCCCGGAGAGAGAACAGAGTACCTGGATGAGGGGAGGCCGGCCTGGGCTCTTACCGGGCGCCTTTGGGGCTTGTTCTGCCTAGTCATCGTCTGACCACCGGCATTGCACAGGTGGCACTGTGGAGCGGCTTTCGCTCTGCCGGACTTTCGCTCTGCCGGACTTTCGCTGTGCCTGGTACACATGCTGTCACACCGTCTCAGAACCACCCTGCATGGCGCACAATCCCAGGCCTCTGGTGTGGTGGACAGGGGGGCAAGAGGGACCAGGCTCAGCCCAACTTTGCCTTGGACCCCATCCCCCTCCTCAACCTCCCTGTCCCTTTGGGGGAGCCTCACCACAGGTGGACGGGGGCAGGGCTCCTTGGAGGTTGGGGGAGGAAAAGACCGCTGGATTGGGGGGGCTTCTGGTTGGAGGAAAGAAGCTCCTAGGAAAGTCGGGGGGCCCGTAGGCACTGCTGGGGACAGGGATGGAGGAAGGCACCGCAGGCCCCAGCGCCAACAGGTCCGGACTCCGTCGCTGTGTCCTGATGTTCTCTAGGAAGGTGCCTCTTGCATAGGAATCTTCTGAGGCCTGGGGAGGGGTGGTCTCCCAGGTGGGGCTCACAGTTGCGGGAGGGTAGAGCCCCGTGCTGCCATAGGCCCAGCTGGTGTATGGTGAGCCTCCTGGGGTCCCCTCCAGACGGCAGAGGCATGCATTAACCTGGAAGACTGTTTGGGGTGTGGGTGGGTATGGGAAGGAAGAAAGAAGGGAACAGAAGGTCTGAAACCATCCTGCTTTCAAGATGCAGTGATTCCCACCAGCCCCACATGGTGGCCAACCTTCCCACCTGCCCATAGGTTGCCAGAGCAGCTGCTGGCCATTGGGGGACTCCTGGGTCTGAGCCCCACTGGTCACTCTGGCAGCTGCAGGCACCAGCAGCCTTTTCCCAATGGGCTTTTAGCATAACTTTGTGGAGCCCCATGGGCCACTCAACTAGGGTCACCCCCACCTACTTACCGTATTCATTCCCAATGAGGCAGTCTGGGGATGTACGTTCCCAGGTCTGCACATACACAGGGAACGTGATCCACATAGCCTCGTGAAGGCTTCTGGCCATTTCTAAGATGGCTTCTTTGTGAGATTCTACCCTAGCTAAGGGTCTCCATGGATACCCCAGCAACATGGAACCCTGCCAGAAAAGCCAGTGCAGCAGCTGCCTGCATATGCTCCAACTGGGGCAGGGGATCGAACCTAAACCCAGGTGCATGCCCTTGTCTGGGAATCAAACCCGAGACCCTTCAGTGCACAAGCCCATGCTCTCACCACTGAGAACACCAGCCAGTGCTCATAAGAGGGCCCATGAGAGGTTCCTATGGGCCAGGCCTGGAAGTTGCGTATGTCACTCTGCTCACTCGATTGATCAGAACTGTCACATGTCCACCTGTCATTGCAAGGGAGGCTGGGAAAGTGAGTGAGTCAGGAAGAAAGGGGAGCAGGGTTGAAAAGCCTATAGCAGTGCCTGCTACAGGATTCTGTAGACTCCCCAGAGCTACGCTGTTTCATGTGGTAGCCACTAGCCACAGTCAGGACAGTGGCTCCTGTACAAGGGGAGGGCAAGGCTTCCAGACCAAGGCTGTCAGAGGGAGTCCCATCAGGGCTTCCTATACAGGGTCAGGGGAGTGTTTCCAGAGGGCAAGTTTAGGGGTTCCTAGGAACGATCGGGTCAGAGATTCCCGAAACGGGTCAAGTTACGGATTTCTGTTGGAAGTCAGGGAAAGGTTTCTGCAGAATCCAGCACTGTTATAGGCAAGGCTTCCTGTAGAGGGTCAGAGCCATGGAGCCAGCACAGGGTTAGATCAGCAAGCCCTGCACAGTGTCTGGGCAGGAGGTCCTGTGCCAGGTGAGGCTGTCGGTGCCTATATAGGATGAGGTCTGGACGTAAAGCAGGGGGTCAGGACAGGTGCCCCACCACAGGTTCAGGAAAGGTTTTCCATGTAAGTTCAAGACTGTGGTTCATGTTGAGAGTTGGATCAGAGGTTCCTGTGGACTCTGTTGTGTGGGGCGTGAGGTAGGGATTGTTGTGCAGAGTGAGGTCAGAGGTCATTGTCAACAATGTAAGCAAGGCTCCTGAACTCAATCGGGGTTCCCAAAGATTTACATATGGGGTTTCTTTTCTTTATATAATATATATTTTTATCTATTTCAGAGAGGGAGAGAGAATCATAGATTGGCTACCTCTTGCATGTCCCCTACTGGGATCGAGTCTGCAACCCAGGCATGCGACTTGGTTCATGGGATGACGTTCAACCAACTGAGCCATGTCGGCCAGGCTGTAATTGTAATTATTTACTGCAGCATTTCCTTGATCTCAGTCATTCCAGTGTCATTCATGATTTTAGTTTTTTTTGTGCACAAAATGTACTTCTATATATTTGGTATGTTTTGATTTTGAAATAAAAGAGTATCTTTTAAAAAGAAGCATAGTTCTAAGATTGAAAACTAAGAACACTAAGTCATGTTTTGAAATTAAGTTTCAATACAAATAATAGTATGCTAGTGATGTGCTTTATACTAACTACTTTATATAACTTTTCTCCTTCAATCTTCAAAATAGCTCTTTTAAAAAACTACCCAGGGTCACAGAGCTTGTATAAGGGAGAACCAAACTTTAAAGTTTTTTGGACCCTAAAGTCCACATGAAGTGCACTGTAGGCAGTCCCCCAGTTGATTTTTCCCAGTTGCTTCCTCTGATTCCTTTCCCCTTTTCTCACTGATCCAGTCTTCCCTGGTTTCCAGCACTTCACACTTTCAGCAGCTTTTCCCACAGGTCACTCCCCAGATGCTCTGGCCCACTGCCTCTACGTTCAACATTGCAGCTTTCAAGAACAGAGGAAAAATAGATATTTTAAAGTCTTTTTGAGAACATAAACAATTGTTATCTGTACCTTCCTGAGAACTATTAGGGAATGAGCGTATGAGCAGGGCTCTTTGTGATCTAGTTTCTGGGAGTGAGAATACAGATAGGGACCTGAGGGAGAGATGGGAACTTTCCTCCTTGTGCAAAGGAGTGGAGGAGGAGACGGAGTCCCGAGGAAGTAAAGGCTGCTGTGGCGGAGGGTGATCTGCTGATCTTCAGGAAGTGTACAAGGTAAGGGAGGGCATAGGATAGGGCTCATGGTGGGCACCCAGTAAATGTTCTTAGGTTTTAACTAGAGAGAGAGGTGATAAATTATGGGCAACCACGTAATGAGGAAATTGCTTTCCAAGTTGAAGTTGTGACCAGGAACATTCCCTTTGAGTTCACAAACATATTTTCTCTGTTTTTTGAAGCCTAGTAGCCCGATCAAGAAAACTAGAGGCAGCAATGATTTAATGTGAGATAGAATTCAAGGAATAATAGATCTGGAATTGGTAACTGAAACCAATGGATACAATATGCAGTAAGAGGAAGAAGACAACTATATTGTTTGTTGTCACCCTCCAATGTTTCAGGCAATTTCTGTATATAATTTCATGAAATTTTCAGGACTGATTTGCAAGGCATATGTTACCCTCACATGACAAATGAGGAAGTGGCTTTCAAATGACTATGAAGAAATTAGCAGCCCCCCAAAGTGGTATAAAGATGATTTTAAACTGAAAACACCTGACAGCAACCATAGAAACATTATCTAATTTTAAGCAGAAACTACCAAAAATACAACTTCCATTGACCTACACCCCTGCCCTCAACAGGGAATTTTCTAATTGAAGGAAGACTGACGCTTAGCATCTCATACACATACGTACACCCTGGGAAATGTTGAGCAAGGGAGGAGATAGACTGCCCATTATCATTAGCATGAAAAAGTCCAACAGAACTTTCCATAACTTTCCCATCGGAGCCCTAACCTCCCTCCCTTTTGCTTAGATGGTTTATAAACCTTTCTCTCTAGCTATTCATGGAGTTACTCATTATTGAGTGCTTCCACATATGCCCATCTTTTCTACTGTTAATCTGTCTATCATCAGTTAATTCACAGGCCATGACCATTTGAGCTTAGGTTGGTAGAGGAAAACTTTTTCTCCCAACAACTAAATGTCTTGCTCAGGTTCACACAGATTGAAAATGACAGGCCACAGGATTTTACCTCCAGTCATTTGTGCCTCAAAGAAAAAATTTATGAGGACTCCTGGATTCTAGAGTGGGAATATGTGTTTGATGAAGGCCTCTCTACCCCCTTGTCAGAGAGCAGTGTGGTTCCCTGGAACAGACCCAAGAGCAACCACAGGACTGACCCAGGAAATGCCCAGGTTCTTTAGACACATAATCGTGGTCTAGCACACAGCTCCCCATTCCAGGGAAGCTGAAACAAAGTATATGAGCGGGTGGGCTGCAGAAAGAACCCGTGTCCCTACAATTATTCTTCAGTCACACTCAGAGAGGGTGACAAGACCAGTAAGTGGTCACTGCAGAATTATCTTCTGTCACAGAACCTCTGAGAAGCTGAAGGTCCTAGGGAAAGGCTGACTTGGGTCAGGACATGTGCAAAGCAGCCAGGACCGTCTTTGGATTCAGTGAGGTCATACCATGTGATCCAGGTCAAGTCAGTTCACATCCCTGAGCCTCGGTCCTGTAAAGTGTGAATGCTCTTACGTACTGCCAGGATCTTGTGGGAAATGGAAATATATTCGTCAAGAGCTTGCCACATCAGGTTAAGTCTATGACATCAGTAATTCTGGTTTCTGAAACTTTAAAGAATTCTAGTTCACTTTGTAGACAACTGTGTGTGTATTTGCACATATTAAATATATCCAACACACACACACACACACACACACACACACACACACACACACACACATGGTTTTTTACCTTGGTACCACACTGTTTTTTGAAATCCACACAATACAAAGGCAAAAGGTCTTATCAGGGAACTTGTTCCTTGGCATATAGGATTTGAGAGAAATACAAAATGATCATTGCCTACCACCACCAACTTAATCAAAGATTCTTTTATACTACTTTAAACATAATAATTTTCACTATTACATTCGAATAGATCCTCTATTAAGGCAAAATCTTATATGTAATCTATAATATAGATGAATATAGGAAACTACACATTGTTTTATTCCTAAATTTTGTTTTTGGTTTGTTCCTTAATATTAAAGAGCTAAATCAACATTTTAAAACAGAAAATAACCAAAACTTATTTAAAAA